ATACGCTACAAAATATTTACTAAACAAGACACTAATATGCTTTTTTATATATGTATTTATGCAAAAGTCTGCATAAGGAAGTGCTGTATTACAGGAACTGCCCTGGAAGAAACAGAGTGCTTGGAGTGGAGTTGTTCCTTTTACGTGACCGTAACATAGCGATTTCCCTATCACCAATTGACAGAAACTCCTCCTTTTCTGCCAAGAGAGAGGGATGGATTTTCCCAACAGTTGAAGTGTAAAGATCCCACAGCACCTAAAACTGAGAGACTGCTGCCGTTTCCTAAAAACTGACCCCAAGAGGGCTCCCTTCCCCCACCGAGACAGATTCCTGCTCCTCATTCTCGCTGCTCCAGCGCTGAGCAGACCAGTCAGAGGTGGCTCAGCTCCCCTGAGAATTAGACTGGGACTGTTCACACGGATTTTAAACAAGTGTAAACATGAAACCAAGTAATACACAAACATCCCGCGACTGCCTTAATATTCAACGGGCAGAGCATAATCTGGAGCTTTCTGTGCTCACTCCACACAAAGGAGACAGTGTTCGTGTGGGACACTGTCATTTACCGGGTACTAACCTGCAGCTCTTCATCTGTGATCTTCTCCCCCAGGTCTCTGGCAACACGTTGGAGGTTTTTGAAACAAATTTTGCTAGTTTCATCGTCAAAGAGTTTGAAAGCTTTGAGAATCTCCTCTTTGGAACTGCAGCTCTTCATCTGTGATCTTCTGCCCCAGGTCTCTGGCAACACGTTGGAGGTTTTTGAAAGAAGTTTTGCTAGTTTCATTGAGAATCTCTTCTTTGGAATCTTTTTCAGCCTTAAAGAAATAAGCATAAGTTTAAGGAAAAAAAGTAGTGCTTATGTCATAGGGAAACTCTCTTCAGAGAAAATTTTGAGAAGCCAAGCCAGCAGGAAGCGTGTGCACAAAAGCTGGAGGTGGATAGAGACAGCGATGCTTCCCGAACCTCAGGGCTCTGCAGACTTTTTTCCCTTTCATAGCCAGACAGATGTGTTTGGGGATTTCAGTATCAGGATCTTGCACTGTTAAATGTCTGGTTTTAGTCAGCATTTTTAGAAGCTTTTTAAAAGCAGAGATTTCATCCGTCACTATCTTAACACTAAAGAACACACAGTGCACTGCTCAGTCATCCATGTCACGTGTCAGCACTTCTGACAGCTTTCTGCAGGCCAGAGTTGGTTTGAATCTGTGATAAAAACCTTCACTTCCGTTTTTCCCTTTTCTCACACACAAAAACTGGTCACTAAAGAAACTGCTGAATGACATAATTGTTTCAACGTTACCTTGAAAAATGGGATAGGGCAGTCTTTGCCTTGTAACTTTTATACATCTTGTTGTTAAGATTAAAATAGTGCTTTCATCTTCCACTAAACCCAGGAGATGAAAGGTACTGAGCCATTTTCCAAACTGCTTTCACTGTGACTTTTTAAATGTACATACCATTTTCTGTGCCATCACTACCAAGAAGTGATTGAAGCCAATTTTTCCTGTTCCTTCCTTATTGATATCGGATATCATGGTCTTGATCTCTTCTCTTTTAGGTTCAAACCCTAGTGCTCTCATGGCCACCTGAAAGGACAAAAAATAATTTATAAACCATACAAAACTACACAGAAAACCACGAGGTGTAAAAAAAGTGACCTTTATGCCACATCATGTAAAAACATTCTGTGTCTCAAAGAAAGCAGCAGGGTAAGGGGCAGACTTGGCACAATGCTTCTCTGCAGACAAGGGCACATCATGATGC